CTTAACTGACTGACTTGCCATCTCATCTCTCAATCTCTGAGCCTCTGTCTATCTCTCTCTGTCTTTCTCTATCTGCCTGCACAGGTTGGAATTAGCGCCTGCCATTAAACTTCACTACTGTGTTTGTGTGGGGAGTCCCCCCCCTATCAGCGAGAGGAGTCCTACTGCTCACTAAACAACTGTCACGGAATCTCTCTCTCTTTGTTTTCTCATTCATCCTCTCACTCGCTCATTCACTCTACCACACTCTCTTTATCTCTCTCTATTGGTCTTTTGCTCTCTCGTTTTATTAGGGTCATTTTACTTCTTGGTTTGGACATTACTTGTATGTGATTATTTATGCACCCTTTATAGGGGTTAGTCGCCCATTAAATGTGACAAAGTGTGTAGAAGTGTTTTTCCAGATATGTTTTATACATACTGTTTGTTTTAAACAATGAACTTTGGCTAAAATTCCTAAATGTATGGATAATTTATTAGATATTTTCTAAGCATTAAGGAGTATCTTAAAGAAAAACATTCTCTGGCTATTCCAAGGCCTGAACTTCTGACTTGGTTCGTTACAAATAATATTTTCTCAGTACAACGACAGAAAACAGCAACCTACTGTTTGTCTTTTTTTCTACTTTGACTTTCACCTAAATACTGGAATATTCCCTCCTTCATGTTTTCTCTTTTATCACTACCTACCTTTAAATCTCGTAACTATTTTTTTCCACTTTAATGTTGAAGGAAATGTTCTGTGCTCAATGTTCTTGAGTTATAAAATCTAGGTGACGACGAACATTGCATCATCTGGTGTGAATTATTGAAGACACTTTCCTTTTCATTTTTCCTCCCCATTCTTTGCCGTTCGTCTTTCTCCTTCTCCTGCCCGGTACACTTAGCTGCTTCCCTCTAAACCCCTTCTGTTCCTCTTCTTTTTCCCTCTCCTTATCTTTTTCAGTGTGTGAAATAAAGGCTTTATTGGAATTGATGGTCTTAGCTTCCATTGGGTCACACAGAAGTACATGCAGATCTTCTGTAGGTTGCCGTGACTAGCAGTGTCGGTCTCTCTGTCTCACCCTCTGTGTGTAGTACCTGATTGAACCCAGTGCAGGGTTAGATACTGTGTCCTGTCTGTTCTGTGCAGCTTACTCTTTCACCCTAGGTTAAATGTCTTATGTGTGTTTGAGGCTTAATCCTGTGATTGACTGTTTTTAACACTGGTGTGAAAAAAGTTAATAGTTAATAATACAGTTTTCAAGTTTCCATGTATCAATTACACTGAGTGTACAAAACATTAAGGACACCTGCTCTTTCCATGCCATAGATTGACCAGGTGAATCCAGGTGAAAGCTATGACCCCTTATTCATGTCACTTGTTAAATCCACCAATCAGTGTAGATGAAGGGGATGAGACTGGTTAAAGAAGGATTTTTAAGCCTTGAGACAATTGAGACATGGATTGTGTATGTGTGCCATTCAGAGGGAGAGTACTAAATCGGTGCGCCTGGCACCTACGACCATACTCTGTTCAAAGGCAGAGTATGGTCGTAGGTGCCAGGCGCACCGATTTGTATCAAGAACTGCAACGCTGCTGGGTTTTTCACGCTCAACAGTCTCCCGTGTGTATCAAGAATGGTCCACCACCCAAAGGACATCCAGCCAACTTGACACAACTGTGGGAAGCATTGGAGTCAACATGGGCCAGCATCCCTGTAGAATGCTTTCGACACCTTGTAGAGTCCATGCCCTGACGAATTTAGGCTGTTCTGAAGGCAAAAGGGGGCGTGCAACTCAATATTAGGAAGGTGTCCTTAATGTTTTGTATACTCAGTGTATACTCTAACTGTTCGGGAGAATTTTGGGGGTTTGTGTCGCCACTGATAAATATAGCCTGTACTGCACATATCTCTGTTTTTAGGAAGTATTATTCAGAAAGTAAGTTATTACTCAAGTGTTGATTCTTAAAGAGTAATGGATTGAGGAACTCTTAAGTAACAGGCAAAAGTGAATTGACCCTGCTCTATTGAAAATATAGTACTTAAGCCATGTCTGAAAATCATTTACAGTCTGTGATATTGACATCTAAGTACAGACACTTTTCAAGCACATTCCAGATACAAACATGTTTTTACATACATATCTACTTCAAATGTACTTTCCCTGATGTTCAGTTTGTCTTTGTACATTAAGAAGTATGTTCTGGGTTTTCTAGGGAGTCTTTTTTTGTGGAGAATGAGGGCTGAAGTTCACAGTGTGTCCCAAGTGTGTGTGTGTGTGTGTGTGTAACTTATCCTTGCTGTAGTTAATTTGTGTGTTTTATATTCTCAGGGTCAAATGCGAAGGAACCAATCCAGTGAGTATTTTATTTTACACTCCTCGCTCTCTCTCTTTCTGTCTCTCTCGCTCTCTCTTTCCTCCTCTTCTGTGGCTGCAACCAGGGGGGTTTTCAACTTCATTCTTCTTAGCTCGGGTCGATTTTTTTTTTCCCCAAAATCCTATCAACCTGGCCAAAACCAACATATCCCCAGCGAAAGTAAACATAGATTGTTTTTTTATATGTGTGTATTTGAGAAATGACTTCCATTCCTCCTCTAAGCTATGAGTAAGATGAATTGCTTAATTGCTTGTCTTTATTTAGCATGTCAGAAGTTATATTTTTCCTCCTGCGCTTTGGCAACTATTTGTATGTTTTGTTATGTTTGATTTTCTGCTTGGACAAATTAATGCTCGAACAAGTTAATTAATTATCTATGGAGGAATGCAACAAGTCACGTAGTCTCAAACTGTGAACTCACTATGAAATATTAGTGGGGGTTAGCGAGTAAAGGATGAAGAAAGAAAAATAAATATGAAGAATATTATTTATATGTACAGTACCAGTCAAAAGTTTGGACACACCTACTCATTCAAGGGTTTTTCTTTATTTTTACTATTTTTTACATTGTAGAATAATAGTGAAGACATCAAAACTAAACTATGAAATAACACATATGGAATCATGTAGTAACCAGAAAAGTGTTAAACAATTCAAAATATATTTTATATTTGAGATTCTTCAAATATCCACCCTTTGCCTTGATGACAGCTTTGCACACACTTGGCATTCTCTCAACCAGCTTCATGAGGTAGTCACCTGGAATGCATTTCAATTAACAGGTGCCTTCTTAAAAGTGAATTTGTGGAATTTCTTTCCTTAATGCGTTTGAGCCAATCAGTTGTGTTGTGACAAGGTACAGAAGATAGCCCTATTTGGTAAAAGACCAAGTCCATATTATGGCAAGATCAGCTCGAATAAGGAAATAGAAACGACAGTCCATCGTTACTTTAAGACATGAAGGTCAGTCAAAACGGAACATTTCATGAACTTTGAACGTTTCTTCAAGTGCAATCGCAACAACCATCAAGCGCTATGATGAAACTGGCTCTCATGAGGACCGCCACAGGAATGGAAGACCCACAGTTACCTCTGCTGCAGAGGATAAGTTCATTAGAGTTACCAGCCTCAGAAATTGCAGCCCAAATAAATGCTTCACAGAGTTCAAGTAACAGACACATCTCAACATCAACTGAATCAGGCCTTCATGGTCAAATTGCTGCAAAGAAACCGCTACTAAAGGACACCAATACAAAGAGACCTGCTTGGGCCAAGAAACACAAGCAATGGACATTATACCAGTGGAAATATGTCCTTTGGTCTGGAGTCCTAATTGGAGATTTTTGGTTCCAACCGCTGTGTCTTTAGGAGACGCAGTGTAGGTGAATGGATGATCTCCGCATGGAGGAGGAGGTGTGATTGTGTGGGGGTGCTTTGTTGGTGACACTGTCTGTGATTTATTTAGAATTCAAGGCACACTTAACCAGCATGGCTACCATGGCATTCTGCAGCGATACGCCATCCCAGCTGGTTTGGGCTTAGTGGGACTATCATTTGTTTTTCAACAGGACAATGACCCAACACACCTCCAGGCTGTGTAAGGGCTATTTGACCAAGAAGGAGAGTGATGGAGTGCTGCATCAGATGACCTGGCCTCCACAATCCCTCGACTTCAACCCAATTGAGATGGTCTGGGATGAGTTGGACCGCAGAGTGAAGGAAAAGCAGCCAACAAGTGCTCAGCATATGTGGGAACTCCTTCAAGACTGTTGGAAAAGCATTCCAGGTGAAGGTGGTTGAGAGAATGCCAAGAGTATCCAAACCTGTCAAAGCAAAGGGTGGCTATTTGAAGAATCTCAAATATAAAATATATTTTGATTTGTTTAACACTTTTTTGGTTACTACATCATTCCATATGTGTAATTTCAAAGTTTTGATGTCTTCACTACTTTTCTACAATGTAGAAAATAGTTAAAATAAACAAAAACCCTTGAATGAGTAGGCTTTTAGGAGTGTATTCCATCCTAGGGTTAGGCTCTCAGGTGCCAGGTGAGTACTATGTACCTCTCTAGTCAGTCTGACCTCCCATCCACACACCATGCCAGGTAGGCCTCCAGACCCCCACCTCAGTCCCACCGCCAACTGCCACAGCCTAGGCTAGTGGACCATACAGTACCTTGGCTTATTCTGTGCTCTACAGCTATAGCTAACATGGCTAGCTAATAACAATGCTATTAGCAATGCTTCAAAACTAGAATCTTCACCATTTCACAAAACTAGAGCTATGCTAACAGTATGGAGATGCGGCGTTTGTGGCTATATTTGCCACTGTCTTAGAGGAGACACTTAAGTGTAAGTAGTTTGATGTAGATCTGAACAAATATATGTGTCCAATAAAGGAAAATCTTGCTGGTGGGGAACCTCTGCTTCACATAGCACCTAAACACACATTCTAGTTTGAGCCACACAGAGCACTGCAGCCCTGTCCTTCAACATGGGCTCTCTGGCTCTCTGCAGTGTGTGTTTATGTACGGGCGTGTCTAGGTGGGTATGTATGGGACAGACCTCTGCACCTATGTAACATTGTGTGTGTGCCGAGGTTAAGTCCGTCATTTGTATGTTCTTTCCTCGACCAGGCGATGAGTTGGGAAAGACCAGGATTCCAGCATCTTTCAACGAGTAAGTACAGGATAAAAAGTCCCCTAACTTTCGCAGCTAAAAACTGGCTCAGAAACAATCACAGTAAAAGCTCCTTGACTGACACCCTCTAGTGCCCTTCTCTCACTGTTTAGTAATTGCTCTCATTTCTATCTCTCTCTCTCTCTCTCTCGCTCTCGCTCTCGCTCTCTCCCTCTCCCTCTCCCTCTCCCTCTCCCTCTCCCTCTCCCTCTCCCTCTCCCTCTCCCTCTCCCTCTCCCTCTCCTCTCGCTCTCGCTCTCGCTCTCGCTCTCGCTCTCGCTCTCGCTCTCGCTCTCGCTCTCGCTCTCGCTCTCGCTCTCGCTCTCGCTCTCGCTCTCGCTCTCGCTCTCGCTCCAGTAGGCCTGCTTTCAATAATGACCTTCTCTCTCTGGATCCGTTTGGCCCCACCCTGGGAGGCTCCTCCTCATCAACAGGTAAGCCCCGCCCCAACCCACCATGTTTTTCTCAGAGCTGTATAAACAGAGTTTCGATGTACTCCTATGGGTGGCTAGGCGAGTTCGGTGACAACCATGGGGTTCTATCTAGATCACTTTCCTAAAGTATGGGTCGCGACCATGTTAATGGTGGGTCATTTGGGATCTGAACTTACTGTTGAGAGTTAGAATAGTAGAATGCACAAGGTGCATTTTAGAAATGTGGTTGTGCATCTGCAGTTTTTCTCTTGTTATGTCAGTCACTGACAGTCACTCAATTAGCCATGTCAGCTAACATTTTTTAGATGAGTAATTGAGTCTAGCCAGCTATCCGATACCAACCGGGCACGCAGGGCATATGCCCAGGGGCTTTGACCCCCAGGGTGCCCCCATTTTGATTTTGGTAGTCACTCCCACTCACATACTGTATCATATTAACATGGCAAAAGGTGTAGAATTGCAGGAATTCAGCTTTCAAACTGCAAATGTCTCTCCATCCCATAGCAAAATGAACAGAATTGCATAAAATGTGTTTTAAAATTGCAACATTTTCTGCACGCCCCATGGCAAAATGTGTAGAATTGCAGGAAATGTACTTTAAAACATAAATGTTTCTCTCCGCTGTCAAGAAGGGGGTCACTAAATTCTTTTGTACTATTAAAAATGTTTTCGGACCTTTCATTATGGTATATTTTGTGTAGGTGGGTGAGATTTCTTAAAATATTTAATCAATTTTGAATTCAGGCTGTAACACAACAAAATGTGGAATAAGCAAGGGGTATGAATACATTCAGAAGGCACTGTATAGGGAGGAATGGTCTATGATCCCTCCCAATGTGTTCCCCAATCTCATAAAACATTTTAGAAAAGGGCTCATTCCTCGCGAGGGGAGGGTGCCGGAGTATTGAAAACAGGGGTGCCAATAATGTTTACCCCCATCTTTTCGATATTTGTTTTCATTAGCAATTGTATTAGTATAAAATAATATAATTAAAACAAATATATGTTTTGCATACAATATAGCGCAACATTTGTAGAATTTATAGAATTTGTAGAATTTATTTTATAGTCTTTTTTTGCTCATTTATTTTTGCTCATTTATCGAGGGTGCCAATCATTTAGGTCATGCCTGTATATAAATGGCTCTGGTTTTCACTCTAATCTCAGACTACTGCTGATACAGACATGACCCCACACAGCTCCACGGGTAGGCCAGGCAGTCCCCTGCAGAGCTCAACAACATTAGGAAGCTCCTACTGTGTACACATTACACATATACATCAGTCCTCCTCATACATATCTTATGTTGACAGGGGCCTCTCCAGTGCTCACTCCCAACCTAAACTTAAGTTGTGTGTCTGAGAGAATGTTTTGTGGACTGTCTGTATTGGTTATGAGTTTCTAATAGATGATGTTTCTAATAGGAGATTTTGCTCATACCTTTATTTTATTTACAGTTTTTTTTTATTTTACTGTTTTTTTTGTTAAATGTTTATTTGAAGCTTTTGTCATAAATGTTTGTGTGGAATTCTTGTCACAGTTTTGATTAGTATGCATTTATCTGTCTTCAAATGTAAGTACATTCTAAGTCAAAAGACATTTCACACATATATTATTTAGTATACTCTACCAGTGAAAGGTTTTAGAACACCTACTCATTCCAGGGATTTTCTTTATGTTTACTATGTTATACATTGTAGAATAATAGTGAAGACATCAAAACTATGAAATAACACAAGTAACCAAAACATTTTTATATTTGAGATTCTTCAAATTGCCACCCTTTGCCTTGATGACAGCTTTGCACACTCTTGGCATTCTCTCAACCAGCTTCACCTGGAATGCTTTTCCAACAGTCTTGAAGGAGTTCCCACATATGCTGAGCACTTGTTGGCTGCTTTTCCTTCACTCTGCGGTCCGACTTATCCCAAACCATCTCAATTGGGTTGACACATTCTCCACCGGTCTGATGTCCATTGCTCATGTTTCTTGGCCCAAGCAAGTCTCTTCTTATTATTGGTGTCCTTTAGTAGTGGTTTCTTTGCAGCAATTCGACCATGAAGGCCTGATTCACACAGTCTCCTCTGAACAGTTGATGTTGAGATGTGTCTGTTACTTGAACTCTGTGAAGCATTTATTTGGACTGCAATTTCTGAGTTAACTCTAATAAACGTTATCCTCTGCAGCGGAGGTAACTGTGGGTCTTCCATTCCTGTGGCGGTCCTCATGAGAGCCAGTTTCATCATAGCACTTCATCTTTTTTGCGCCTGCACTTGAAGAAACGTTCAAAGTGTTTGAAATGTTCCGTATTGACTTAAAGTAATGAGGGAATGTCGTTTCTCTTTGCTTATTTGAGCTGTTCTTGCCATAATATGGACTTGGTCTTTTACCAAATAGGGCTATCTTCTGTATACCAACCCTACCTTGTCACAACACAACTGATTGTCTCCGAAGGAAAGACATTCCACAAATTAACTTTTAACAAGGCACACCTGTTAATTGAAATGCATTGCAGGTGACTACCTCATGAAGCTGGCTGAGAGAATGCCAAGAGGGTGCAAAGCTGTCATCAAGGCAAAGGGTGGCTGTTTGAAGAATCTCAAATATAAAATATATTTAGATTTGTTTAACACCTCTTTGGTTACTACTTGATTCCATATGTGTTATTTCATAGTTTTGATGTCTTTGCTATTATTCTACAATGTAGAACATGGTAAAAATAAAGAAAAACCCTTGAATGAGTAGGTGTGTCCAAACTTTTGACCGGTAGTGTATGTAAAGACAAGATTAAATCAAGAATATTCTGATGGGTGACAGTATTAGCCTATAACTTGTGAATTATATATTATCACTTGTGAATGATGCCCAGCTTAAGGCAAGAAACAGCGCATGTCTTTTTTTTGCGACTTTTTCAAATAATAGTCACACACCATGTAGCCCAGCCCATAGGCCTATATGTTTTGAAAAGGTTTGTATCACAACTAAAGTGGCCAATTTGTAAAAAAATTATTAAGCACATAATCCGCTTTACAACTGGTGTAGAGCCTAACTTGCATGCATACATACGCAGCGTGTGAGTTTCAAATTTGGGGAAGATTATTTTCACCATAAAAATGCACCTTCATATTAAAAGCATTACATGTATTTACGGTCACTTTTGAGAATGGTGTTTTCATGGGGGATAGTAGATTGACATAGGCTAGTGCTTTTGCTGTTCGTTAGGCCTACTCATCTTGTTGGCTGACGAAAAGTTCTTCCAATATCTTCATGCGCCTCGGAATTGGATACGGACGTGTGTCTGTCTTCACTTGTATCCTGTGAGAAATACCCTATCATGTGATGGAGAGCCATGTGAGTGAGAGGTGCTTCGGAGCAGACAGCCAGGAGAATTATAATTATTATATTCAGCCCAAGGGCACAACAGCCACTGGCCGCAAAAGGCATTGGTTTTTTTGCGGGGGCATTACGGCCACACAAAGGGGATGCCGCGGGGAAATTCAAGGCATTATCAAGTGCTTATCAAATTGTGAATGAGAGACTGATGAAGTGTGTACAGCCTGCTCAATAAAACTAAGCAGAGCTTCATGCCTTTCATGCCACTTTTTTCAAATCATCATTAGTTGCATCATGCATCCTTAGATTGTATTAAAAATCAAAACATATAGCCCAACGTTTGTATCACAACTAAAGTTACAGAAATTACTCTAAATTAAGCATATATAGGAGTACCTGTTTCTTTGTTAACCGCTCAACACAGAATAGCTGCATGTGCACACTCCCTCAATTCATTTAGAGAAAATATAATTTATATTTTATTCAGCTATGTTCAATTGTATTCTTCATACTATAAAATAATGCCATGGAATTCTAAGAAAATCATGTCTGCTAAATGAACTAGTGTAGCCCACAGCCATTTGGCATAGCCAGATCAGGGCCTAACATAAGGATAACTCAGAGTATGCTATTCTGTTCTTCTGAAATAGACTACATTTTCTTCATATCATGTGTCTTTAGACCTGTCTAAAATAAATAATGGATTTATTGTGATGGTGTAGGCTATATTAAATGGATTTATTCGACTTTTTTTAAATGTAGATGTTCCAAAGGTCTGAATCAGTGGCTTGTAGGCTGTGTGTGGAAGCCAGGAGATGCTAAATGTGTTTGTTAATTAACGGTGTGTGTGACTGACTGTGTGTGTGTGACTGACTGTGTGTGTGTGTGACTGACTGTGTGTGTGTGACTGACTGTGTGTGTGTGACTGACTGTGTGTGTGTGTGACTGACTGTGTGTGTGTGACTGACTGTGTGTGTGTGACTGACTGTGTGTGTGTGACTGACTGTGTGTGTGTGTGTGACTGACTGTGTGTGTGTGTGTGTGTGACTGACTGTGTGTGTGTGTGACTGACTGTGTGTGTGTGACTGACTGTGTGTGTGTGACTGACTGTGTGTGTGTGACTGACTGTGTGTGTGTGTGACTGACTGTGTGTGTGTGACTGACTGTGTGTGTGTGACTGACTGTGTGTGTGTGACTGACTGTGTGTGGGTTTTAAATAGAGTGACGTTAGTGCTGACCCATTGCCTGGGCTAATTGTAATCCACCGTTAATTGCACCTAGTTTGGGTCAGAGGGCTGGCTATAAGGCCCACTGGCACGTATGCTGTCAAACACTATCTCGTTACTGTCAAAGGTCCTGGCTTAAAAGCCAAAAGAGCAGTGTAAAGTGCCCTGGTTAAGATACGGTGATGATGCTGTTTAAGCTCTCTGTGTACAATAGAGGCATTACCAGGCGTTAATACACACATGACACATTCATCACATTCAACTAGCCCTGACTGAACTGCAAACAGTTATTTCGAGAAACCTGTAAGAATGTATAGTTGTGTTTGATTATTCAGGGACTTTCTAACTTTTAAGTTGGTTATTTTGCTTTTCCTTCTTTTTGTGTCTTATTTTCTGTGTGTAAGATTTGCAGTCTTGTGTTTGGTTGCTGTGTTATTGTTTTTTGCTCTCTGTGTGTGTTAACCCTCCTCCTTTCTTCCCCTTTCACCCCTCCTCCTCAGACATCTACTCTCTTTCCCTCTCCATTCCCTTTATCTCCTCTACACATTAACGAGTCCCTGTCTTTCTGCCAGGGGAGCCAGGTAAAATGTGTTCCTTAGCTGCCCCTCTTTAGAACAGTGTGGTTGCACTGTACTGAATAGTTGTCCAAGTATCCAATAGCTTTTCAACTATCTATCCACACTTACAAATAGCCTTTACATGGCATCCAACATTTGATTCAATTGCTTGTCGTTGTGTGTTTTTTGGTTGCGTTTGGTCTTTCAAATGAACGCGTTTTGTGTCAAAAAATTTGTTTTTTTTGTCTCTCAAAAGATCCACTCTGTTATCGTAGGATTTCATAGTTATGAGTTGTAGCTATATTTACTTTGTTCAATCAAGCCAGTGAGGAAGATGGCTAACTTAAACAGTGGTAGATTGAAAGGCCCTTATAAGCTTTGATAAGCTGAGAGCTCTGTGTGGCGCTGCGTGTCTGCAGGGTGTGATGACCAAACACTCCAAACAGTCAGAGTAGCTGAGCTCCTCTCAACCAGCTGTAATCCTCTAACAAATTTATTACCCACAACCAACCCTTCACAGTTATATTTGAACATGCCAGGCATTCCTATCATAGCCTGACACTCACATTGCCAAATGTTGCACAGAGATTGCATATGATTGCAGTTCACAGTGAACTAGGCCTAAATCTGGCTGTCCCATAGCAGGTTGGATTTAATGTTTAAATGGTTTAGATGGAAACCATTTTTTATTATTATAGGGATAGGAATTATTTAGCCTTGTTTGTTCAGTTTAATTGAATGGAATAACTCAGGGGGTCCACGAAAAAAGACATCTATAGTAAAAAATTATACAAATAAAAAATGTGTGACTGGTACTATATATATATATATATATATATATATATATATATATATATATATATATATATATATATATATATATATATACACATACACACACACACACACACACACACACACACACACACACACACACACACACACACACACAGTTGAAGTCGGAAGTTTACATACACCTTAGCCAAATACATTTAAACTCAGTTTTTCACAATTTCTGACATTTAATCCTAGTAAAAATCCCTGTCTTAGGTCAGTTGGGATCACCACTTTATTTTAAGAATGTGAAATGTCAGAATAATAGTAGAGAGAATTATTTATTTCAGCTTTTATTCCTTTCATCACATTCCCAGTGGGTCAGAGGTTTACATACACTCAATTAGTATTTGGTAATATTGCCTTTAAATTGTTTAACTTGGGTCAAACGTTTCGGGTAGCCTTCCACAAGCTTCCCACAATAAGTTGGGTGAATTTTGGCCCATTCCTCCTGACAGAGCTGGTGTAACTGAGTCAGGTTTGTAGGCCTCCTTGCTCGCACACGCTCTTTCAGTTCTGCCCACACATTTTCTATAGGATTGAGGTCAGGGCTTTGTGATGGCCACTCCAATACCTTGACTTTGTTGTCCTTAAGCCATTTTGCCACAACTTTGGAAGTATGCTTGGGGTCATTGTCCATTTGGAAGAACCATTTGTGACCAAGCTTTAACTTCCTGACTGATGTCTTGAGATGTTGCTTCAATATATCCACATAATATTCCTTCCTCATGATCAGAGCATATGAGCGGAGTGGAGCGGTGAGAATCTCAGCTCCTCGCTCACGGAGTTGTTCACCCCTCCGCTCCCCCCGCTCAAAGCCACATTAGGCCAGTCCGCTCATTATCGCTCAGCGCTCAACGCAGTTTGCATCGTGCTCCACTCAAATCGCCCCCGCTCACTCCAAAAAAGGAACGAAATCTGCATGTATTTCACTTTTAGCTCAAACCACAGCCTTACTTTATCTCCCCGAATTTGTTGCATACAGACTCATCTCGGATTATCCATTCTGTCTTGAAACGGGGATCTAACACTGACGCTAAAATGAGATGTTAATCAGTATAGTATATTCCATAGCGAATTGACACGTTGTTTGCCAATGTTTCTGCAAAAGCAGCGATGCCCATTGGAAGTGCAGCGTGAGTGTAATCGGTGAGCAGGGATTTGATTTATGTGACAGCAGGGAGGATCATCCCCAGGTTCCCCAGCTCCTTCTGCATTTTGTCTGTGAGGTCTGCTAGTGGTGTCAGCACACGGACAAGGTGCGTCAGCTGCGGTACTTGATTCAGGGTGATGTTAGCAACATTAGACTTGAGTTTGTTTTGCCATAACGGGTCTTTTTGGAACAACCGGATGAACGACTGAATCATCCGCAGCTGGCTGCTCCATCAAATGGCGCAGGCATTTGTGGGGCGGACACCTAATTGGTCGGTTTCCTCTGTGCTCTTGCGTACACTTTTCACCAGGTGCCCGACTTTCACTAACAGCCTATTAATGTTGTCGTGCTCGTTAACGGCGTTTTTGATCGCCAGCTGAAGCATGTGAATGGGGCATCTCAGATGTAAATTTGACAAAGTAAAGTACTGATTTATCATAGTTTCTTGGGGGGGGGTGTAGCCCGGTTGAGCTGCGCTGGCGAAGTGTTGCATCCCTTCGCGTTCTCCTTTACTCAGCGGTTCATAGTCCATGAAAATCATTTTTTAAAATGCTACATCCAGCTCTCTTTTTCTCTCCCTTGTTATGGTTGGGCCTTTGCCTGCAGTGAATAAACTTTTGAATTTCTCAACGCTTTTCTCTTGTTGCTGCTGCTGCTCCTCGCTCTATAAAATACAAATTCTTGGACGACACAAATTAAATTAAACAGATGGATTCTGGGTCAGGCTTGAGCATGCTTCAGACTCTTGGTGTGAGCGAGCGAAATTGGAGCGGGACATAGGGCGACGCTCCGTCCTTTTAAAAATGCCGCTCTGCGCTCTGTTCAAAATCAGTCCGCTCACGCTCCACGCTCGCTCACGCTCCACTCCGCTCATATGCTCTGCTCATGATGCCATCTATTTTGTGAAGTGCACCAGTCCCTCCTGCAGCAAAGCACCCCCACAGCATGATGCTGCCACCCCCGTGCTTCATGGTTGGGATGGTGTTCTTCGGCTTGCAAGCCACCCCCCTTTTTCCTCCAAACATAACGATGGTCATTATGGCCAAACAGTTCTATTTTTGTTTCATCAGACCAGAGGACATTTCTCCAAAAAGTATGATCTTTGTTCCCATGTGCAGTTGCAAACCGTAGTCTGGCTTTTTTATGGCGGTTTTGGAGCAGTGGCTTCTTCCTTGCTGAGCGGCCTTTCAGGTTATGTCGATACAGGACTTGTTTTACTGTGTAGATATAGATACTTTTGTCCCTGTTTCCTCCAGCATCTTCACAAGGTCCTTTGCTGCTGTTCTGGGATTGATTTGCACTTTTCACACCAAAGTACGTTCATCTCTAGAGACAGAACGCGTCTCCTTCCTGAGCGGTATGACGGCTGCGTGGTCCCATGGTGTTTATACTTGCGTACTATTGTTTGTACAGATGAACGTGGTACCTTCAGGCGTTTGGAAATTGCTCCCAAGGATGAACCAGACTTGTGGAGGTCTACACATTTTTTTTCTGAGGTCTTGGCTGATTTCTTTGGATTTTCCCATGATGTCAAGCAAAGAGGTACTGAGTTTGAAGGTAGGCCTTGAAATACATCCACAGGTACACCTCCAATTGACTCAAATGATGTCAATTAGCCTATCAGAAGCTTCTAAAGCCATGACATAATTTTCTGGAATTTTCCAAGCTGTTTAAAGGCACAGTCAACTTAGTGTATGTAAACTTCTAACCCACTGGAATTGTGATACGGTGAATTATAAGTGAAATAATCTGTCTGTAAACAATTGTTGGAAAAATGACTTGTCATCCACAAAGTAGATATCCTAACCAACTTGCCAAAACGATAGTTTGTTAACAAGACATTTTTTGGAGTGGTTGAAAAATGAGTTTTAATGACTCCAACCTAAGTGTATGTAAACTTCCGACTTCAACTGTATATACCTTTCTATCTATCTATATATAATCACTAGCAACAATAGAATAAACACATTTTTTATTACATACCTACAATAGAAAATTGGAAAATATCTTCTTTCTAATGATATTTCTCAACTCCTAATATTGAGCAAATTACACTCACTGGAGTATCTGACATAGGCTTTGAAAAAGCACCATTGCGACAAGTGCTGCTGGTAAGCTCTCTTGACACATTTTTGCCAACACTTGGCTAGCCTTTGTTTAACCAGCTAAAGAGCTGCTCTTAGCGAAAATGTGTTTGGAGTTACCTTTCTAGCTAATAGGCTATGTTAGAGTTTACACTTACTCTTCCCATTATATTGTGGGGGAGGTCAAAATAATGAAAAACTATCTACCAAATCTATTCATTTTAAAATGTTGATTACTTATCCTTGCCATTATCATTCACCTGATGTTAAGACAATAACATTTTTGTTTGTTGATAAGACAATGTTTATTTTTTAAACATGTTTTATGAACGTATGATGGGGGTCCCTGGGTCACCGGTTTGCCTGGGAGGGGGTCCCTGGGCAAGAAAAGGTTGAAGACCCCTGGAATAACTGATTCATTCATATTAACCTGTTCTGTGGAATGTTAAAATGATCAAATGAGGTAGGAATGTAAAGATGTTTGCATGAATATCTTTGGTTCCTTCTCCTTACTCTGTGGTATATGTTGATCACTCTGCCCCACCCTGGACTCTCCGGCGCCCCTCACAGCTGAGTTGAGATTACAGCGGGAGCTTTCCTCTCCCCCACTGGCAGACAGCCTGCGGACCAAAGGAGAGGTCACCCCTCTCCCTCCCATCGCCTCCACCACAACTAATACCTTCTCTCCATGGGAGGCCTCACTGGACGACCCCTTCCTGGCTCTGAAGCCCATCCCAGCCCGGGCCCAGAGTGCCCCCATCACCCGGCGGGCTGAGCCCTTAGACCCCCAGGGTCCAACCCCAACCCCCCCAGCCCCAGCCGGGCTCCCTCAGGGAGAGGACCAGTCAGCCTTCTCCTGGTCCCAGAGCCAGTGGATAGCCTTCAACGACGACTTTGTGCCACTCCGACGCCAACAGAGTTGCAGTCCTGGTACGGGTACAGGCCCAGTCAGCCGTGACCGGACCCAGTCAAACCCACCTACCAGCAGGACCCAGTCTAACCCTCCTATTGGCAGGGTCCAGTCTGGCCGGTCCATCCTTTTCTTCTCTGAGGACCCCGCTGACCCCTATAACAAGATGCCGCTGAGCAGTGGGGTTGTGGAGGACAGCGCCTCCTGTGTCTCGGAGGTCTTATCAGCACTGACAGAGGGGATGGTAGCCTCAGCAGCAGCAACAGCTAGCCAAACACACAACGGTAACCTCTAGCATGCCATAAACAAATGTTTTTTTGTCTGATTGAAGTTTGAAGTGTTGCCTTTTTGTTTTTTAAATATTTTTCTACTTTTTAAAATTGTCTTTTCAGTTTGAGATGTCCACCTTTTTATAACAATGTTATATACAATCTTTTTGGTTGAATAATATACTTTGATTTGTGTTTTTTTGTTTTGCTTGTTTGCCTTAGAGAATTGTTTACACAAAGTTTTGTGAGTTATGTTCCTTTTTTCTGTATGCATTCTATGATTTGGAATTTGTGCATGTCGTGACTTCTGTGTTGATGCATGATTTTGCATTACGTTGAGTGACTCAGTGATGTCTAAGAAGTTTAAATTCACTGAACCTGTTTTAGAATTCCATCAGAAATATATTAGTAATGCAGCATGGGGTTACCTTATCATACCGTAGCTCACTTCTGCTTTTTGTCTATGATTGACGCTCTCTACCCCCTCCTCCCCGCCCCTCTGCAGTGCCTGCCCTGGCCAGACCAACTACTCCTCTATCTGGAGCCCTGGTGCCTCCTCCACGACCCTCCTCCAGACCCAAACTACACACAGGAAAACTCACAGGAATCAATGAAATTGTGAGTATCTCCACCAGAGTATCTGCCCAGTATCTAATAGAGAATCTCTAGTATCATCAACCTATCTTTTTGTACGTCAGAGCATTGATTGATGAAACCATTCCCTATTAATGAATGATAATGGACTACATTTATTTAGTGTTTTTCACTCTTGCTATATACAGTACCATGTATGGGGTTAACTTGCCATATCCATCACTATTGGTTGATTTCTGGGTTTGTGCGGTCTATCCAACCAGGTGCGGCCGTTCAGCCCGCCTAAGACGTTGTCCAATGCCAGTCCTCCTCTGGCTGCTCCCCTCGCCCGGGCAGAGAGCTCCTCCTCCCTGTCCTCCACCGCCTCCCTCAGTGCCTCCAACACACCCACCGTGGGTAAGAACATGACCAAGCTCCATCACCTCCCATCTCTGTACCTCGTACCACCTGCTTTATGGTCTACTCCTTTCTACTCTTCTCTTGTCTTCTACTCCTTACCTCCTCTTTACAGTCTTCTCTTCTCCATTCCCCTCTTCTCCTTTCACCTCCTCTACTCTACTTCGATTCACATTTCTTAACAACGTCCTTTCCTCTCAAACAATTCTCAGCTTTTTTCCTCTCCTCTCCTCCACTCTCACCTGACCTAACCCCACTTCTTGTCTTTAAACCTTATTGGGCTTCTCTCCTTCCCTCACTCCTCTCCTTCCCTCACTCCTCTCCTCCTCACAGGGCCTGAGCATACCTTTCGTCCTTCCCGCTCCTCTCCGGAACCAGAGTTCCTCCTTTCTCCCTCTCCTCTGTTTCTCCTCAGCCAAAGTGAGTCTCCTTTCTCCTCCCTCACTGTCACTCCGCAAAGCACCTAATGCACACAGTGTGTCATCCTGATTTCGTACAAATGCTCACATTCACACCCAGGTGTGTTGGTTTGGAGCCCATTGCCTAGTACCATCTCACCTGCCCAGAGCCATCACCTCACCTCACCTCACCTCATCTCATCTCACCGCTTTCTTGTTTTTTTTGGTTTCTTTCCTCTTTCTTTTATTTTGTTGGGCCCTTAAAGAGGATGCTGGTTTCATTGGGAAGCTGCCCACCTTTGAGAAGCTCTGTGAAACACCTGCAGGTAGGGGGTGTGGTCAAGTAGCCTGGACACGCCTCTCTGTTTGTGACACACTAACAACGGCCACTCGGATTGGCTGTCTGCTCTGTCTGCCTGCTCATGAAAAATCTGTATCTTCTCAACGCGCCTGTCTCTCTGTCAGCATACGCCTCTCTCTCACTGTGAACGTCCATGTAATCAACAAACCGTTAAGCATGGTTGTGTTCTGTTGAGTAACAAATAACAATTTGAAGGTAGGAAGTTAATTGCAGTGTTTAACAGTTCTTACTCAAAGAATCCCAGACAGTAATTCATTCCAATGGTAAATGTATAATAATTCTTAACAATACCTAATATTTTACCCAAATCTAGAACATTTAATTCCTAGAGAGGTGTGATTGTTTTGGTATGTAATGTCTTGGGATTTTTTAAATGCACTTTTCCTCTGAAATAATGGAAGGATTATTAGTCTATTTTCCATAATGATATAATTGAATGACTGACCTTATTATGTAGTACATTAACTGTGTTCTTCAGGTTGTTGTCTGTTGCATGAATGAGTGTGAGCCTTTATCATTTTGATGTCAAAGTTAAATTGAATAGTACAATTCAGTCATAGCAATACACTTTCTCTCTCTCTCTCCTCGCCTTCTCTCTCGCTCTCCTCTCTCTCTCCTCCCCTCTCGCCATCGCGAAAGCCGAAGAACCCAATGCTACAGAAAAGCGCAAGTAGACCCGGAATCTCCACAGATCCACTGCCCTCATACACTCTCCCTCTCCTCTCCCTCCCCTCTCTTCCCTCTCCCTCAGGGACGTCTCGCGGTCCCAGCCCGGTGACCCTGGCATCCCAGGATGCCTTGCCCATCGCTGTGGCCTTCACAGAGTCTGTTAATGCCTACTTCAAAGGAGCTGATCCCACTAAGTGAGTCTCACATGACCACCTACAGCTCAGAGAGCTAGCCCTTAGCCTGGGCCTAACACACACAGCACACACAATATGCACACAAGTGAACACACACACCTTACACGTAGACACACTGCATGCATGCAGACACACACACACATACCGCTGTACACACAAATGCGCGCACACACATACACACACTATGAACAGCCATTGGTGCACTGCATATACTGCTGCATACTGCTATTCAACTCGTCCATACACATAATATGTTACACACATTTTTAAGTTAAACTTTGCTCCATACTTCACACACACGACGAGCCAGTGGGCTATGTCTGTCTGTCTGTCTGTCTGCGTGTGTGGAATGGTTTAGATTTTGGTTAGGCCGACACCATTCTTTCAGAGTGGATAACCCACACGGGGCAGATTATAGTCTGTGACATAGAAAACATACACCCTTTTATTGGTTAACTGCTGTTAAATTGCTGTTGTGCAAAATGATTATTTTTGCAGGGATTACCGAATGGAACATTTCATAAGCAATGCAGCGGACACACAGGGAGGGTTGGAGCTCATACGTGGACCACACCACAGCACACTGGGATGGGGCTAGACTACCAGGCCTTGTTTAGATTTGGACTGAGGTAGCCTTGGACTGAGTTGTACTGGGTCTAATTTAGACTTGGATGAGTTACATTTGGAGTTAAACCAGTGGACTAACTAAGACTGAGACTGTGTGGACTGCCTCGGACTAGAATTCCATTAAATGTACTGTGATAGACTGGACTAGTGGGCAGATGTTTAACCCTTTGTGTACTGCTGTGCCGCTCAGGTGCATAGTGAAGATCACAGGTTTAACACTAGAACCGCTGGGCCTTTCAGCCTATAAGTACCTGCTAGATAGAGAACATTGCCAGGTGTCTCCTTTAGCATACGCATTAGATGCATATCAACCCGCAAGGTGTGCAGGCCAAATGATTTGCCATGAACATACGCACCAATGCTTGATAAATAGTGCATAAACAATTGTAAATGATGAATTGCATTAAGTAATATTTATGGAAATATATCCATGACAAGATTATGAACAAACTGAGGAAAAACTCAAACCAAGTTTATTCACCGACTGGGTAATACAGCTGCAAAGACAAAGCATGATTACACAAGCGCATATATTTATAACCTTCTAATAGGCGTGGTCAACTCCTTACACAACCAATACATCTCTGTTGCTAGGCAGGAATTTCATTGGTTCCTCTCCCTGGTGTAGTCACAGCCCTGCCTGTTACTAAAACCATTGTGGGCGTGGAATGTGTGTGAGAGATACAGTGGGGAAAAAAAGTATTTAGTCAGCCACCAATTGTGCAAGTTCTCCCACTTAAAAAGATGAGAGAGGCCTGTAATTTTCATCATAGGTACACGTCAACTATGACAGACAAATTGAGATTTTTTTTCTCCAGAAAATCACATTGTAGGATTTTTTATGAATTTATTTGCAAATTATGGTGGAAAATAAGTATTTGGTCACCTACAAACAAGCAAGATTTCTGGCTCTCACAGACCTGTAACTTCTTCTTTAAGAGGCTCCTCTGTCCTCCACTCGTTACCTGTATTAATGGCACCTGTTTGAACTTGTTATCAGTATAAAAGATACCTGTCCACAACCTCAAACAGTCACACTCCAAACTCCACTATGGCCAAGACCAAAGAGCTGTCAAAGGACACCAGAAACAAAATTGTAGACCTGCACCAGGCTGGGAAGACTGAATCTGCAATAGGTAAGCAGCTTGGTTTGAAGAAATCAACTGTGGGAGCAATTATTAGGAAATGGAAGACATACAAGACCACTGATAATCTCCCTCGATCTGGGGCTCCACGCAAGATCTCACCCCGTGGGGTCAAAATGATCACAAGAACGGTGAGCAAAAATCACAGAACCACACGTGGGGACCTAGTGAATGACCTGCAGAGTGCTGGGACCAAAGTAACAAAGCCTACCATCAGTAACACACTATGCCGCCAGGGACTCAAATCCTCCAGTGCCAGACGTGTCCCCCTGCTTAAGCCAGTACATGTCCAGGCCCGACTGAAGTTTCTAGAGTGCATTTGGATGATCCAGAAGAGGATTGGGAGAATGTCATATGGTCAGATGAAACCAAAATAGAACTTTTTGGTAGAAACTCAACTCGTCGTGTTTGGAGGACAAAGAATGCTGAATTGCATCCAAAGAACACCATACCTACTGTGAAGCATGGGGGTGGAAACATCATGCTTTGGGGCTGTTTTTCTGCAAAGGGACCAGGACGACTGATCCGTGTAAAGGAAAGAATGAATGGGGCCATGTATCGTGAGATTTTGAGTGAAAACCTCCTTCCATCAGCAAGGGCATTGAAGATGAAACGTGGCTGGGTCTTTCAGCATGACAATGATCCCAAACACACCGCCCGGGCAAAGAAGGAGTGGCTTCGTAAGAAGCATTTCAAGGTCCTGGAGTGGCCTAGCCAGTCTCCATATCTCAACCCCATAGAAAATCTTTGGAGGAAGTTGAAAGTCCGTGTTGCCCAGCGACAGCCCCAAAACATCACTGCTCTAGAGGAGATCTGCATGGAGGAATGGGCCAAAATACCAGCAACAGTGTGTGAAAACCTTGTGAAGACTTACAGAAAACGTTTGACCTGTGTCATTGCCAACAAAGGGTATATAACAAAGTATTGAGAAACTTTTGTTATTGACCAAATACTTATTTTCCACCATAATTTGCAAATAAATTCATAAAAAAATCCTACAATGTGATTTTCTGGAGAAAAAAAATCTCATTTTGTCTGTCATAATTGATGTGTACCTATGATGCAAATTACAGGCCTCTCTCATCTTTTTAAGTGGGAGAACTTGCACAATTGGTGGCTGACTAAATCCTTTTTTCCCCACTGTAGTACTACAGTAGGAGAGACATTGTGGTGAGCCTCTCTGCCCCCCCTACCAGAAGTTTCTTCTCACTTCATCTGTTGATTTGACCTCGAGACGCATTCCTCGCTCCTACCTAGTTCTACAAAGTCCTAGTGAAAGATGTATAGCTTATTTTCGTTTCCCTACAATAAAACATTAGTGGTAATACATTTGATCAATTTGATTTGTAGATTTGATTAGTAATAGAGTTATAGTAAGTAATACAGGCAAGTTTCAGCTTCTTTTGACAATGTAGAAATTCAAAGATAATATAACCAGGCGGTTACTACTTTACCACTCTCCATCACTGATATGGAGTACAGTTCTGCTGGTATGTTGTTTTGCGCAGAGGGTGGCAGCTCCCTGCTCTGTTTGTTCACGGTTCCGAGCAGGCTAGTCTTCTTTGCAATCAACTTGTCTGCCAGGGAAATTGATGTGAAGAAGTTGTCCATGGTCACTGCCTTTGCAGTCTCCACGAGTCTCAAAACCACAGTCTCAGACAGTCACTCACCAGCTAGCCTGGTTTAATCTTTCCCCAGATATGGAAAGCCATTGAGCAAGTACTTGTTGGCCGCCGATGTCGAAACCCAAAACTTAATTCAAAATTTGTCCAGTTTGTTGGCCATGTATCGGGTGAAATGGCACCGAGATTTGGTTGGGAATAGTTGCTCATCAACAGTTATATTCTCTCCTGGCAATGCAGTTCTTTACACAACATTTCCAGGGGTCTGAGACGGCGGTGATCTTGGTCCGTCTGCACGCGTTGGTCTTGCATCCTTGCCATCAAAATGCAGGTGTCACATAATCTCTCTGAAGCGGTTGCGTGGCATGGTCTCTTGGGAAAAAGTTCACCTCAAACCTATCAGATCAAATGGACAAGAGTGCAATAAATGCTTTGAGTTCATCTATAGACATGTCCCACGTACTGTTTCCTTTTCTGTGCGCATGAGTAATAGTACAATCTCTGATGTGCTGCAACATCTGCGTGTCAAATAAACAAAGAACTGTGTCGAGTGCAGTGGCAATTTGTCTCTTTGCGTGAGCTGTAGGGCCTGCTCTCTCTGTGCTGCTCTTCTCATCTCCTCAGGTGTAGTAAAGATCAGTTGTTTAACCCTTTGCATACTGCTCTGTTCTCCTCCCCTCGGGTGCATAGTGAAGAGCACAGGTTTAACCCTTTGCGTGCTGCTCTCCTTCACTCTCTAGGTGCATAGTAAAGATCACGGGTGACATGACCCTGTCCTTCCCCATGGGTATCATCAAGGTGTTCACCAGTAACCCCTCCCCTGCCGTGCTCACCTTCAAACTGAAGAGCACGTCCAAGCTGGAGCAGATCCTTCCAAACCAGACACTACTGTTCAGGTGAGTGGAGAAATTCTAACATTCTGATAACGTTTTATTCACAGGTGATATGGTTAACATAAACATTCATACAACGTTTTAATGAACCTGTTTGATGTGTAGTTACCATACAGGCGTACAGGACCATAGAGAATCATTCAGCTATATCAGTAAAGACCAGATTCCAATACAGGTGTGGGCATGCGTGGAACCAAAGGAAGGCTGTAACACTGTTTGAACACCAGTGGGCCAGACTGGAGCATATCAGGGTGGCAGCCCGTGGAGAGAGAGGTGTTGAGAGGGGGAGGGGGGAACCTAGCTTGCGTCATTGAGGGGAAAATCTATTAGCATCAGTCATAAAGCTATCATTATCCTGACAGCGACCTATTTTCAGACATCAGGTTCTCAACAGGCCATGTCTAGAGGAGTGTTGCATCAACTCTCAACAAGCTACAATATCACCTCTAAATGTAAGCGTCATGTTGTGTTTCCTCCGGAATAGCCACCATGTATCTAGCCCTAGCCAACTTATTAGCAGTGAACCATCAGTGGAAAAGAGACAGCCACCTGAGTTAGTCTCTTTGAAGAGTGGATTCCTTTCTTCCCCCAAAGGAGAAGAGGGTGTTTTCTTCCCCCTCCTTTCTTTCTCTCCTTCTCGGTCTACTTCCTCTGGTTAACTCTGAGACCACATGGCTGGACTAATTGAATCAAACAGAATTCATGTTTTAATAGCTGGGGGGCAATAAAAGGGTAACTCTTTCCAGCTATTGGAGCTCAGCGCAAGCACACACACACACACACGCACACACTGCCGCCGAGCAGAACAATGAATACTTGAGTCTCTGATCATTTCTCGTGTGTGTGCGCGTTATCCAGTGATCCCTCGCAAAGTGACGCTAATACCAAGGACTTTTGGTTCAACATGCAAGCTCTCACATCCTACCTCAGGAAAGCATCAGAGCAGAACCCTGCTGCGTCCTACTACAACGTGGACATCCTCAAATACCAGGTTAGTCCCAGACTAAACAAAATACTCACTTTAGTATACTGTATACCCCTACAGTATATACTCACTATTGTGGTAATAATGCAGAAGTCCAGAAGTAAAATATTGTGTTTATAAATGTATTTATTTCACATATTGTTAATGTATACATTTTTGGGCATCTCTCCAATAATATGATCTTTGCCCTTTTCCCGCTGACCTTATGCCGTGTTCCTGGGTGCGCACGTGTCCTATAATGGGATCCAGTACGCCCCTCTAATCCTTGCAGTGTACTGGAAGTGTACCCCCGCTACCACTGACCTGACCTCTGACCTGTGTCCCTCTGTCTAGGTGTCCTCTAATGGGATCCAGTCCACCCCTCTGAACCTGGCAGTGTACTGGAAGTGTACCCCCACCACCACTGACCTGAGGCTGGACTACCGTTACAACCCAGAGTCCATGCTCTGCCCCGGCCCTCTTTCCAACGTACAGGTCCTAGTGCCCGTAGACGGAGGGGTCATCAACATGCAGTCCCTGCCCAATGCTGTCTGGTGAGAGAAACGAACAGAGAACATGTGGACAGCAGTACTATTTAGATATTGATGCTTTGATTGATTGCTTGCTTGATTGATTCGTATTGACCGACTGATATTGATAAATTGATTTTCCATTACAAAAACAGACCACAACAGTCAAGACAGCATAGCACTGGCATCAGCTGTGAGCATGGTTAATGTTCAGTACTTATCGCTAGCAATATATGTGTTTCGTAGTTGTGTATCTGTACTAATAGCAGTGTTTCCCCTAGGTTTTATTTTCAGGAGTGGTGGCAGAGGTAGTGGTGGGGGCGAGGGTGGGGTCTTCCTGAACGATTGTGAGAAGGTTTTTTCTGGTGACTTTTTTAAAAGGACATTCTACTCCAAAATGCGTGAACTTCCTTTGAAATTCATCTGAAAATCTAGGACAGTTTAATTGTATTTTTTGAACTCAATGACATCACCAGCCAATTCTATATTAACCCCCAAAAAATGTTGCTAGCATAACGTTACTGTATCTTAGCTAACAGTTATTACATGCATCTATTGGCTACACTTCCAGGATTACCTTGGAGGTTTTTCAGACGATCTGATGAGAATCTGAAGAAGATATGTAACTTGTTACAGCTTGTCACTCTGATCTTAAAAGCGCATCTCTGCATATTTATTAAAAAATACTATATATACTTTATATATACAGTGCATTCAGAAAGAATTCAGACCCCTTTACTTTTTCCACATTTTCTTACGTTACAGCCTTATTCCCTCAATCTACACACAATACCCCATAATGACAAAGCGAAAGCAGGTTTTTAGAAATGTTTGCAAATGTATTAAAAATAAAAAACAGATATCTATTTACATAAGTATTCAGACCCTTTGCTATGAGACTCGCAATTGAGCTTAGGTGCATATATATGTGTGTGTGTGTGTGTGTGTGTATGTATTTATATATATATATATATATATATATATATATATATATACACACACACACACACACACACACACACACACACACACACACACACACACACACACACACACACAGTGAGGGGAAAAAAGTATTTGATCCCCTGCTGATTTTGTACGTTTGTCCACTGACAAAGACATGATCAGTCTATAATTGTAATGGTAGGTTTATTTGAACAGTGAGAGACAGAATAACACCAAAAAAATCCAGAAAGACGCATGTCAAAAATGTTATCAATTGATTTGCATTTTAATGAGGGAAATAAGTATTTGACCCCTCTGCAAAACATGACTTAGTACTTGGTGGCAAAACCCTTGTTGGCAATCACAGAGGTCAGACGTTTCTTGTAGTTGGCCACCAGGTTTGCACACATCTCAGGAGGGATTTTGTTCCACTCCTCTTTGCAGATCTTCTCCAAGTCATTAAGGTTTCGAGGCTGACGTTTGGCAACTCGAACCTTCAGCTCCCTCCACAGAGTTTCTATGGGATTAAGGTCTGGAGACTGGCTAGGCCACTCCAGGACCTTAATGTGCTTCTTCTTGAGCCACTCCTTTGTTGCCTTGGCCGTGTGTTTTGGGTCATTGTCATGCTGGAATACCCATCCACGACCCATTTTCAATGCCCTGGCTGAGGGAAGGAGGTTCTCACCCAAGATTTGAGGGTACAAGGCCCCGTCCATCATCCCTTTGATGCAGTGAAGTTGTCCTGTCCCCTTAGCAGAAAAACACCCCCAAAGCATAATGTTTCCACCTACATGTTTGACGGTGGGGATGGTGTTCTTGGGGTCATAGGCAGCATTCCTCCTCCTCCAAACACGGCGAGTTGAGTTGATGCCAAAGAGCTCGATTTTGGTCTCATCTGACCACAACACTTTCACCCAGTTCTCCTCTGAATCATTCAGATGTTCATTGGCAAACTTCAGACGGCCCTGTATATGTGCTTTCTTGAGCAGGGGGACCTTGCGGGCGCTGCAGGATATCAGTCCTTCACGGCGTAGTGTGTTGCCAATTGTTTTCTTGGTGACTATGGTCCCAGCTGCCTTGAGATCATTGACAAGATCCTCCCGTGTAGTTCTGGGCTGATTCCTCACTGTTCTCATGATCATTGCAACTCCACGAGGTGAGATCTTGCATGGAGCCCCAGGCCGAGGGAGATTGACAGTTCTTTTGTGTTTCTTCCATTTGCGAATAATCGCACCAACTGTTGTCACCTTCTCACCAAGCTGCTTGGCGATGGTCTTGTAGCCCATTCCAGCCTTGTGTAGGTCTACAATCTATGGTAGAGAGTGGAAGTGCAACTGCTTGTGTAAGATACATGTTCACATGTCGTCTTTCATCTCTTTCCACCAGGAACTCGGAGCTGAATAAGTCTCTATGGAAGCTGAGTGATATCTCAGAGAAGTCTGATAACGAAGGCTCGGGGTCTCTGAGGGCTAAGTTTGAGCTGTCGGACGGCCCGTCCACCCCAACCACCCTGGCTGTGCAGTTTATGAGCGAGGGGAGCACGCTGTCGGGGGTGGACATGGAGCTGCTGGGAGCCGGGTACAGACTGTCCCTCAATAAGAAGAGGTTTGCCACAGGTACATATAGGACCAAGACCTAAACACAGAATCTGACACCTGATTTAAGGCTTCTGCAGCCGAAACATATGGGTGCAGGAATAAAGCAAAGGAGCATATTGTGTATGGGAGATTCTTTCTTTCCTACTCGCCACATAATCTATTCTTACCTAGGAAGAAGTGATTAGCTACAGGTAATAACTACTGACTTGTCACCGATTTTATTGTTTTAATGTTTGTGTTGTGACTTGAGCGGAAGACACTCGCGTTTGGTTAGTCAAATGTGAATGATGTGGTCTATACTGGGGTCTAATGTCTGTGTTGTTCCTTATTCTCCTAGGTCGTTACATGGCAGACTGTTGAGTAGGCACACCGGCCTTTACCCCCAAGCACAACGGCTCTATTGAAAGTTTATTTTCAATCTTTTTGTGTTTTTTGTCCTATTTATGGAAAGGGAGGGTTAGAGGGGAGAGGTGCAGCGAATACAGTTTGGAAACGGTCTTTATATTATGTCCCCGGGAAGAGAGGAGAGCTTCTTACTACAGTAAAGCAGCACTGAGTATTGAACACTGTTAAAAAAAAAAAAAAAAAATAAAAAACCTTGGGCTGTCAGGAAATGTAAAGGTATAGATACTGAGAAGTGTAATGCTGTCTGATTAATTCAGACTTTTATAAAGTCAGAATCGTAGTGTTTTGTTATGTATAGGTGACAATGTATGGCTTATAATATATATATATATCCCCCCCAAAAATCTGCACTAACAATCTTTCCGGACATTTCTTAAACATTTTTTTTTTCTCTCCTTTGTAAATGTTGTATGTGTATTCCACTGAAGCTCTTGAGTAACAAAGATTTGGTGTAAAACAGTGAGAAAATAGAAAACGTGAGGAGTGGAAAGGCCACACTTTCTTCCCTCACCCCCCTCTTCTTCTCTTCTCCAGCGGAAACTCGAGGTCTCTTTTTACCGATTTTTTTTTTTTCTGGGCTCTTTCTATTCTGATCGTGTGCATTGAAGAAATTATAGTATAACCTGACTTCTCTAAAACTCTCATGACACAAGCTTAATTGCTTCAGACAACCATACAAAGTCAATTTTAAGTGTTCTCGTTCAAAGGCAAAAAACTATTAATGGGCTGCACGTTTCGTCACAATATTGTTTTGAACGTTTGTTTTAGAACTGATGCCCTACTGATCATTATACTCAATGCATTGTGAATTGGTGCTGATTAAGATTTAATCAAAAGTGCATTACAGTGGCTTGGAAATACAATTACATTTCTAAAGAAGGCAAATAATTAGTAGGAAAACCTTTTGTCATCATTTTGATGTTGCCATATTGACTTTAGATGCAGTATAACATTTGCTGGCTAGCTAAGATTGAGAGGAAACCACCGGATAGCTAACGTTAGCATTTCTAGCTATTTTTGACGAACTGTGCTAGGTAATGACAACATTGCCATCTGTATAAAGTAAATTTGACAACATGATAATGATGGCAAAGTTGTTTCTTACTAAATATTTGCCTACTTTAGCAATGTCATCGTATTTCAAAGCCACTGTAATCTAGACAAAACAGCTCCCGTTCTACTTTTGGGTATCAATATGGCTGTGGCATCCATAGAACATTTGATAACAATGGCAATGACGCGACTGAGTGACGCCAACCCATGAATACTTAACTGACCTCAGTGCCTTTTCTTACTGTGGATAAATTCATTGAGAAACGTGCCTACAGCGCCTTCGGAAAGTATTCAGACCCCTTGACTTTTTCCACATTTTGTTACATTACAGCCTTATTCTAAAATTGATTAAATTGTTTTTTCCCCTCAACAATCTACACACACTACCCCATAAGGATAAAGCAAAAACAGGTTTTTAGACATTTTTGCTAATTTATAACAATAAAAATAAAACGGAGATATCACATTTACATAAGTATTCAGATCCTTTACTCAGTACTTTGTTGAAGCACCATTGGCAGCGATTACAGCCTCTATTCTTCTTGGGTATGAGCTACAAGTTTGGCACACCTGTATTTGGGGAGTTTCTCCCATTCTTCTCTGCAGATCCCCTCAAGCTCTGTCAGGTTGAATGGGGAGCGTCGCTGCACAGCTATTTTCAGGTCTCTCCAGAGATGTTCGATCGGGTTCAAGTCCGACTCTGGCTGGGCCACTCAAGGACATTCAGAGACTTGTCCCGAAGCCACCCGTGCTTTGTCTTGGCTGTGTGCTTAGAGTCGTTGTCCTGTTGGAAGGTGAACCTTCACCACAGTCTGAGGTCCTGAGTGCTCTGGAGCAGGTTTTCATCAAGGATATCTTTGTACTTTGCTCCGTTCGTCTTTGCCTCGATCCTGACTGGTCTTCCATTCCCTGCCGCTGAAAAACATCCTCACAGCATGATGCTGCCACCACCATGCTTCACCGTAGGGATGGTGCCATGTTTCCTCCGGACGTGATGCCTGGCATTCAGGCCAAAGAGTTCAATCTTGGTTTAATCAGGCCAGAGAATCTTCTTTCTCATGGTCTGAGAGTCTTTAGGTGCCTTTTGGCAAACTCCAAGCGGGCTGTCATGTGCCTTTTACTGAGGAGTGGCTTCCGTCTGGCCACTCTACCATAAAGGCCTGATTGGTGGAGTGCTGCAGAGATGGTTGTCCTTCTGGAAGGTTCTCCCATCTCCACAGAGGAACTCTAGAGCTCTGTCAGAGTGACCATCGGGTTCTTGGTCACCTCCCTGACCAAGGCCCTTCTCCCCCGATTGCTCAGTTTGGCCGAGCGGCCAGCTCTAGGAAGAGTCTTGGTGGTTCCAAACTTCTTCCGTTTAAGAATGATGGAGGCCACTGTGTTCTTGGGGATCTTCAATGCTGCAGACATTTTTTGGTACCCTTCCCCAGATCTGTGCCTCGACATATCCTGTCTCTGAGCTCGACGGACAATTCATGGCTTGGTTTTTGCTCTGACATGCATTTTACATGACATTTTAGTCATTTAGCAGACACTCTTATCCAGAGCGACTTAGTTAGTGAGTGCATACACTTTTTCTTTTTTTCATACATGCACTGTCAACTGTGGGACCTTATATAGACAGGTGTGTGCCTTTCCAAATCATGTCCAATTAATAGAATTTACCACAGGTGGACTCCAAGTTGTAGAAACATCTCAAGGATGATCAATGGAAACGGATAGCATCTGAACCTCAATTTCGAGTCTCATAGCAAAGGGTCTGAATACTTATGTAAATAAGGTATTTCTGTTATACACACACATAAATTAGCAACATTTATAAAAACCTGTTTTCGCTTTGTTGTTATGGTTTATTGTGTGTAGATTGCTGAGGATTTTTATTTATTTAATCAATTTTAGTATAAGGCTGTAAAGTAACAAAATGTGGAAAAAGTCAAGGGGTCTGAATACTTTCCGAAGGCACTGCATCTTTTCTTTCTGCCCTTTTGTATGTTAAAAAAGCACAGCTAACAAAAATAGAAAGCACTAATCTTGTGCCAGTTGTTGTTTTAAAATAGTCCTGTTTTTGGACATTGAAAGGAAAATGCCTCCAGTTTCTACACCAGTCAAACCCAAAGGCATCTGTCTTTCAGAAACCACTGATCCAGTGGACTCACTGTCTCAGTTCTGTCTCTTTTCTATGATGTCATCTTTGAAAGTATTTTCTATCTGGGGTATTTTCTATCTTTGATCAGAGAGAGATCTTTGTTCACAAAAAACCTTCGGTCTATTTAAGAGCACTGGACAGCCTACTGACCTAGCTTCTTAATCACAATCGGGCCAAATCAATTCTAGAAATGCCTTAAGAAAATATACCTTGACAACTGTTGATAACGGTAATAAAATGCTATCCAGTTGGGATAGGTTACATACTGTAACTGCCATGTTTGCCTGTGAGGAGAGAGACAGACAAAGGTTATTGGTGCTGACTCGATGTCATACCGAGTGATTAATTATTGCCTTATATACCAATGGAGGACCAGTATCTAGAAGGGCTACATCTCCTAGATGGAGGGATATGCATACACGTTATGTAGCAGTTCTATCAATATCACAAACATGTTTTTGTATGCCTTTTCATCCAATGCCTCCTCCCCAAAACCATTGTTTTGACATAGGTATAGGTAAATGATCAGTACTGTATTGTCATTACACACATTGATAATGGGCACATCAGCAACACTGTGATTGTGGACTATTTTCTAAAGGCCCCTCTAGGCATTGTAGGTTACCTCAATACTAGATTTGTACTCTTACTGTCCATCCTGTATGTGGCCATCTGACCACTGTATGCTTGTAGACTCCTGGTCTTTGGAACAGTTAGGGTTTGATACTGTTAACACTCTTGCTGCTTCTAAAATGGCCTCATCTCCATATATATCCATCTAGACTCCTCTATCTATGTATTCAACCTATCCTCAAAATAAAACTGTTCAGTACAACAACAAAACACCTAGTCCATGTGGCCACATAATTTAATAACTATGAGAAAGAAGCGATTATTGTTTTTACAATGTTGATCGAGAAGCATTTTTGATGTCATATCATGTGTAAAATATTCTCTGTTTAGGATACAGTATGATTCGGTCAAGATTTTGTTTTGTAAGGCATGGATTAATCTGAATCATCACTGTTTTATTGGTAATACAATTTTTTTTATGTACAATGAGATTTGTTTAAGATCAAGTTTAAGACTCGAACTTCAGTAGCATTGTAGAGGCCGATACTAACTTTAGTTGGATGAGGGGTAAAATAATACACAAACCTCAACATTTATTTGAATCTCTTCAAGAACACTATATGACACCATACTGTCCCAACCAAATGATGTGAGGTTATCCGAATGGATTTTACTAAACTAAAGCATTATCATGCAAAACAAATGTAGCAGGTGAGGAACGTTTAGAGAGGAAGAACATATCAAAATCTGGATTTTTTTTGTGGATTTCTCCTTTAAATAGCACAGGCTACTCTCTCGATTCACCCCTTAGATCAGAGAAACCCCACACAGAAACGGAATATATATGCAACGTATATTTAGCAAGCTGGTTCTTGCTGTCTCTACATAACACCCAGTGATTTTTTGGGGGGAGCTTGTCATTATGTTAATTTTTTGTATGTATTTCTATGTCAAAAGGAGAGTTCAAAAAGCAAAATTATGTGTAAATGATTTCTCATGAAATGTACATTTTTACGAATATTTCAGCCACTTTTTTCTGTTCTTCACTTTATGATCGATCTCAATGTGCCTGTATTAAATGTGTAATATATGAATATATACATGTATATAAAAATGACTACTTAAAATGGTGTCTCCTGTGTTTGTTCTTCCTGTGCACCTGTGTGAATCATCTAGATTC